CATTGATAGCACCCTAAACAAGTTGACATCGGTATCTACTGCATCCATTATATCTGATCCCCATTTCTTTGTAGTATAAAAAACAGTTTCATCCTCATTTTTATTCACTTGTTGCAGTTAAAGGAGTATATTGATGACACCGAGGATTTCATTAACATTCAGCTGGTATGTTCCTTATTGACGATAATAGCATAATTAATAATTCGGTAATGCATGAAGGCTGTTCAAAGAACTTGAATTTTCAACTGGTTTACACAGTTATCTATGATAATTAACGACAAGTTAGACAATGTGGGTGTTAAGGTTGTACATTTCATAGTGATTGCTTTAACGATTACCACAGTGATTCCCAGAATCCGGTGGCATCCTAATCCTTAATCTGTTGACATACTATTCTATTCCTGTTTTGCTATTAGATCGGCAAGATAGAATGTCGGTTCAATTTCCTTTGAGCAGCTCAATTATTTCTTAAGAAAAATGTGAAAGGAAAATGTGTATTGTAACATTGACTTATTCATTGTCGTATTGTAGGATAATGTCCGAAACCAGCTGATCCAATTTGAGCTGCTACTGACAACGGCAACGTTTGTTGTTGCCATATTTGGGGTTGTAGCAGGAATCTTTGGAATGAACTTTGCAATACCATTATTTGATGATGCTAGTGCATTTAAATGGGTGCTGCTAATTACTGGAGTTACTGGAATCATCATATTTTGTGCATTTGTATGGTTCTTCAAATACAGAAGACTTATGCCACTGTAGACAGTAGGAAATTGTTGTCAAAATTGAAAAAGGAATTTATACATAGCAAATATTACTATTTCCGTTATTAATTAATTTGTATCTTGTATAGTAAATCAAATTTGGAAAATGTGAAATATGGCTCTCTCTCTATGATGCACTTCTGCTGCTTTAGTCTTTCATTCTCACTGTTTTTTTAATTGTATTATTGTTCTGTATAATATGTCAGTATATCACAGCTTATGAGAGGCAATACCGTACTTACAACTTAATCTCACAATCTTCGACGTGACAATTTGTAATTAGTCAGCTCGCAAATTAATAATGTCTGCTTGCTATGAGTCATGTTTGCTTAATTACGAGTTAATCAATTGTAAGTTGTTATGTCGAAGTTATGAGAGAAAGTTTGTAAGATTGGATTATGAATGAGTCTTTATTGTTAATGATAATTGTTGTTGGTGATGAAACCATGACCTCTATTATGCAGATGTAAGGTAGTTATCGTTCACTCCATATATCATATACTTTTGTGAGCACTCTCAATTTTTAATAAGTGGTTTTAAAAGGTTTTTTCATTGATAACCTTTAGGTGCTCCCCTATATTTACAATATTAATAAAGATTATTTTACAACCTTATAAACTTTTTTCACAATTAGGATGTGATGACTCATAATTAGTCACATTGCAATTGGTCAAGCAGAAAAATTGATTAAAAATCAATTGTGAGTTANACAGTATTTATCCCAAGAGGCACAATCACAAATCACTTCTCAATCTCATTGTGAATAACACACATTTGAATGTTGATCAAACATTCAAAAGTCATTAAGCAAAGAGATAAACACTCAATCATGAAATTAAAATTCAAAGTAAATCAATTCATAAAAATTTGAATCATTGTATCAAGGTTACATCAAACCCTAGCTAAACAACTCAGTTCATACTCAAAAACAAAACAAAATAACAAAAACAAACCGAATCAAGATTCATCATTGAAAAACAAGCAAAAGATGGAAAAATCTTCTCTAATTTGAAGCCTAAATCTTCAATAATCTTCTCCTTCCAAGAGCTACCTTCCAAATGACAAACTAAGATCCTTTTTCTTTCATTTTCATGCTAATTTATACCTCTTTCACTTAAGGACCAAGCCCTAGCAAGCCAAAATGCGTCATTTTATTTTTCACATCTAACGCAGTTTCGCGCAACGAAGCTTTTTTCTTACCGCGGTGAGAATATTTTGGGCCAAATTTGAGCATGAAAGAGTCTGAATCTAGAAAAGTGTTAAACATATGAATTGTAGCCCTTTAAATTATGTTTCTACTGTTCAAGAATCAGCACAATCCGAGGTCTACAGCTCAAGTTATGGCAGAAATACTGAAGCATAACCAAAGACGTTTTTCTTCGGTTTCTAACATACTGTTTAAAACTTCAAGCCAAGTTTTCACCCTTGTCCAGTCAGAATTAGGAAAAACCCAAAACATGAAAGTTGTAGCTCTGCTTCTTAGCTTTCCAAAGCTTTTAAAATCAGGTTATTCTGAGTTTCCAAGCTCAAGTTACGTAATTTACGCTCAAAACTATCATTTATGCTCAAAATCATCGTTTAGGCTTGCAAAGACAAATTAATAGAATTAGGTAGCAATTATAGCTCAAATTGTATGAGAAGTATCCTAAATCCTATCGAAATTCAATGCAAAATCATAGGGAAAAATAGGATTATCATTTACAACAACCACAAATTCACCAAAAATATTCTACACAAATTTAGAGTTCAATCACAATTCTAACAAAAATAAAATACATAAAGGTTTCCAAAAAGATAGATTACAATCACTCCAAATCCAGATCCGCATGTACAAGGGAAGTTGAGAATTGGGGAAGAAAAACTTGAATATAAAAAAGACAAAATCTAACTTTTTAATTTTTTAACTTTTAACTTTTTTTTTTTACCTTTCAAAAAACTTTTTAAATTTTTTTTTAAAGTTGAGGGTAGGCCTGGGCCTACCCTCAAGGGGCCTGGGTTTACCCCTCAGACCCCCTTACATTTGAGAATTTAGATAAAACATCATATCCATAGAAAAGTTCAAAAATTAACAAAATAGTTTCAACCATCTAAGACCACCATCGGCCACTGACAACAGTCATCGTAATGACATATGACTGACGTGATTTGGCCGATTGTGTGTTGATAAAACTGTTTTTATGACCGTTTCACGACGAAAGATGTGTAATAAATATACCAATAGAGTAAAGTTGTATCNCATTGTACAATGGAGGTGATTTAGCTTGGTTTTTATGCATGATGAATATTCACATGCATATGGAAACGTACTTATATTGTAGATGACAAAGATTTATGAATACAAGTTGATGATAATATGCTGGAGAAAAGATATTGATGATCTATCGAATGAGTTAGATGAATAGCTAATTCAAAAATCATAATTTTGGCCAACATACGTTTTTAAAATAACTAAAAAACCACTTCGTTATTTCCTTTCTTCTGCCAGGAAATCATAGTTAATAACGGAATGAAGCAAGTAAATTAAGTTTAAGATCACATGTGAGTACTTGCGAATTCAGCTGATTGGATCTTTGGAAATGTACAAGACGTCTTGAAATCAAATTCAGGTCACACAAGATACAAATCCACCACAAAGATAAAAAAGTCCCCAAGCGAATTAAACAGAAGTATTTTTATTTAATCTCTCTGTAGTTTGTAACATTTAAAAGGAAAACCAATTAACACATTAAAGGAAAGAAATGAAACATAGTAAAGGAAAATCAAGCAAATCTGATTAGAAAATTTATTAGTACATCATCTAGTACAAGTTGGATGGCTGACTATTTATGGCCTCACAAAATTTCTTATTATTCATTCATAGACTTGTAAATTTCTTATTAGTCATGCATGGATAGGACATATTAACACGCATGGACTTGTAGAATCTTTTGTAGGCCATGCATGGTCTAAAATTTTTTTTAACCATATATGGACTTGTAGAATCTCTTGCTGGCCATACATGAGCTTGTAAAATCTCTTATTGGCCGTGGATAATCTCTAGTAGAACCTAGTTGTACAGAAAAACCACAAAAGAGTTGAGTTGACTGTCTAAATGGTTTTGTCAGCATCACCGCAAAGACCTTATTTTTTGTGTATCTTGGCAAATAGTTACTGTGGTCACATGGACATCCTCCACATAATCAAGATTTTCCACTTCACCAAAATTTTTGCTTGACAAACAATTCAATTAATTAATTAATTAATTTTTTATTAAGTTTGTCCTTTTTGAAATAGTCATCTTGGTATAACAAGTGTACAAACCTTTCCACCCAATAACCCAAAATTTATGGATAAATACACACAAAAATAACACGCTAAAGATAGNTGGCCGTGGATAATCTCTAGTAGAACCTAGTTGTACAGAAAAACCACAAAAGAGTTGAGTTGACTGTCTAAATGGTTTTGTCAGCATCACCGCAAAGACCTTATTTTTTGTGTATCTTGGCAAATAGTTACTGTGGTCACATGGACATCCTCCACATAATCAAGATTTTCCACTTTACCAAAATTTTTGCTTGACAAACAATTCAATTAATTAATTAATTAATTTTTTATTAAGTTTGTCCTTTTTGAAATAGTCATCTTGGTATAACAAGTGTACAAACCTTTCCACCCAATAACCCAATATTTATGGATAAATACACACAAAAATAACACGCTAAAGATAGTTTTGCAGGGGCACAAGATAATCAATCATGAAAGACAAGATGTATATCAAATTGGAAAGATTTAGTACTCCTTACATAGGTTAAAGTAGGGACTACTATTTCATACTTTACATGGTATTTTACCTATATACAAGATGCTGTGGCCTGTGGGCATTTCAATATCTACCTAATGATGCATAATTGTATGGATGCTCCAACATGCAGCATCACACCACTGAATTCTATGCACTGTGCCAAGCGCCCACAAGACATGAGTTCAGTACCTATCTTAACAAGAAAAATATCATGGAACCCCAAAACTTTACCTAAATACTCAAAATTTCTAGAAATTTAATCACAATTACTCACAATTTCTAAAAACTTAATCACAAATTCTTCTGTACTCAAAATTTCTAGAAATTTAATCACAATTCCCGGCAGTTGGAGTACATGATATTTTCCGTCGAACTATCTATCTATAAATATGCAATTTCATACTAAATTGACCTTTTTTTTGGTTAATTCCAACAGATGATTCTAATTCACAAAATTTTGCAATAACAAACTAAAAAAAAATGAGAGATAAGAATTTGAATGAACCTCGATTCATGAGATACCAAGGCACTCCGAAAATTGCAGAGATGATAACGATGCCAGCGAACACGTGCTTCTTCTCTCCACTGTACAGGTAATGATCCAATCTTGACCTAAATCCTCCTCCAGCTGCTCCGGCTGCGGTCCCGCCGTTTGTCGTGGTACTTTTTGTTTCGTTTCCCATTTTGCCTCTTCACAACCGCAAAATTTACTCTATTCTAGCTTTAGTTTCCTCTCTGGTGTTTGTATACTGTATCATGGTACTCTGGCACTCTGCTGTGCTGAGGCTTAAACCCTTCGGTTAGGTTGTGTTTGGTTGCTGGCTTATGGTATTCCGACTGTGGGCAATTTCGTAGCTCCACCGGATGAGATCGTGGGCCGGCCCAATTTTGATTCATTTTTACTAATAACAATTAAAAATAAAAAACAAAATTGATAATAATTAATAACATTATATTTATTTATTTTCTATTTTACCGGGCAGTCCATTTACCCTGGAAAAACTTTTTATTTGAAGATTTCTCATACAATAATTTAATGAGAAACACTATGGCTTCGTTTTGTTGGATTTTAGGAATGCTACTTTTAGTATTCCCAAAAAAGTTAAACAGTAAAATACCCAAAAACTCACAATATTATTCAACTTTATTCAACATTTTTTAAACCCCCTAAATTTGTTAATTCAATTAAATACCCCTAAATATTTTTAATGTTTTTTGTGACGGTGACTCCGGCCACCCTCCGCGGTGGTGGCCGGCTGTCCGTATTTAAGGGTATTAGGAGTGTTTTTTAACTTTTAATGTTTTATTATAAGGGTGTTTTGTAAAAAAACAAACATAGGGGGTATTTTAAAATTTGTAAATCCTATATCATAATACCCGCCCAATTCAACCTTTTTTTACTTTTTTTCAAAAAACTTTTCCCAAAAACACAAAATTGTGAACCAACGGAGCCTATACTATGAAATTCTAATTGCATAAAAAAAAAAAAAAAAAAAGTTAACATGAAGAAATTTGGCTCACAATTTAAATCCTACTATTTCTCCTTCAAAATCTTGATGGTCTAAATAGTTGAAATCTTCGTAGATCAATATTTGAATTTTTAAAAGTATCAATACATCATACCTTTTTTTTTTTATATAATAAATATGGAGATATTTTTTAAAATATTTAATGTACTTTAATAATTAAATTAAATATATAGCTATAAAAAATGGAAATGGGAGGTTAACACCCTGTTATAGTTTGAGAATTGTGATGAGTTAATTTCATTTCCCTTTAAGATATATTATATATATATATATATATATATATATATATATATATATATATATTATATATATATATTTTTAATGTTAGGGGTGTTTGAGTCAATTTGCGTATACCTCAATTAATCTACAGAACCTATTGAACACCTTACAAATCTAATGTTCTATGTAAGTTACAAATATAATAGATAACCATAAGGTGGTTTGCAATCAGAAAATCACTGAACGGAGGAAACTTTCTTGACTAATACTAGACCAATCCCTTTGGATTCCCTTAATATAGTAAGGTCTCAAGCGTCCCAATAATTTTTGAAAAGTATCAAATACTTTGAAGACATTAATAAAAGCCTCCTAAAAATATTAGACAAAAAAAACTGTAGAAAATATTATAATCTAGGTAAAAAGTCAAAAACCCCCTTAGAAATATAAAAATCCTTGTAAGCAAGAAATTTTTTAATGCTTTCTTAAAATTGTTTGGGTGCTTAACTATCTCTTAAAGGGCGAGAAGATTTACACAATTATATGGTGTATTCTTTTTAAGATTTTGTTTAATTATTAGTTACCTCTATTAACAGATGCCAATAATATGTGTGTGAAATTATATGATAGCCTTATAGGAAAATGCATAATTATAACTACAAAATGCAACAACTTGTCAATGTAATATAAATACCTAGTGGTGTTATTTTGATGCTCAATCACATTCATAAAAGATTATCCTAGTTTTGGTTAATCATCATTGACTCGTATCTGTTGAGGTAAGTTTAATCACTGCAAAGAGGTTCGTTGATAATTCTTAGATTATAGAGGTGTTTAAATTATACTAAAACAATGAATTATGAATTAATAAAACAAAACTATATTTATGAATATGTAAACTTTTTAGCGTTACCTTCATCTGCGGGGATAGCTCAGTTGGGAGAGCGTCAGACTGAAGATCTGAAGGTCGCGTGTTCGATCCACGCTCACCGCATTATTTTTTTTTCCTTTATAAAAATTATGTTTGATAATTTTTTATTTAAAACTTATTTTCTTTAGATATTTTTATTTTGTTTGTAATGTTTTTGTTTAAAATTTAATTTTTTTTTTCAATATTTTTTATTTTGAAAATTAATTTCTTTAAATTTTAAAATAAAAAAGTTTAATTTGGTTTTTGATGTTTTTATGTTAACACTAATGTTTCTAACTTTTAATAAATTATTTTTAGAAATTTATTTGATCGTAATATTTTATTTTACAAAAAGTAAATTGTTTATATATTTTTTCAAAATATTTATTTTAAAAATTTATTTTGGTTTTAGAATATTTATTTCAAAATTAGTTTTGTTTTAATATTTTTATTTTTAAAAATCATTATTATTACTTTCCTCTCATCTCAACTTTCAACCTCCATTTCAAATGCCAGAGCCAGACATTCGTTGTTCCCCTAACTCATGGTGATGGCTCTCATCATCCTAGCTAGAACCCTTCGAAGAACTTATCACTTTCTCCCCTTTCTCTTTCCCTCAACCCCACAGTCAGTCTCACTCTTCCCTTCAAAACAGAAGCACTTCCCTTCCTCTTTCTCTTCGGCATTTCATCAAACACTTTCATCACGCTGTGATTTCTTCACTCTCCACTTCTCCTCCACCCCAACTATCAACAACCCTTTTTCCTTCACCCCACCCACACTCCACACAAATGACCCACAGCAACCGCTTCTCCTCGAATCCCTCAAACGGGTCGCCCACTTTGACTCCCAAGCTCAGGCCATGGCCGCTCTTGACGAGTCCGGTGTAAAGGCCAATGCGAATTTGGTTTGTTCAGTGATTTGGGCGTTGAAGGAAGAGTGGAGACTGGCTTATTTGGTGTTCAAGTGGGGGGAGAAGTGGGGTTGCGCTGATGACAAAGTGTGTGAATTGATGGTTTGGGTTTTGGGAAGTAACAAGAAGTTCAACATTGCTTGGTGTTTGATTCGAGATATGTATAAGTCTTCTATTAATACGAAACGTGCAATGCTTGTTATGATTGATAGGTGATTTAGAACTCTTCTTTTGGTTGCTTTAAGTTCATTTAATTTTTCTTCTGTGGTATATTTTTGGTGATATACGAATAAAATTAGAGAAAATTAATTTGAGTATATGAAATCTAATTTTAGTTTCATGCATTTCAGCTGGAAATTTGTTTATTCTCTATATGTTCTGGTTTTTGAGATTCAAATTAATAATACAATATGATTGCTCAGGTGCATATCTATGAAGTGATAAGAAAGATTGAGTTCCGTCTTTGACATGCTACATTGCTTTTTTCCTCTTTTGCTTAAAACTTGCAACATTAGGTGGTCTTTACATGAACTTAGAATTTAGTTGTTTATTTATTTTTCTTAGGATTTTTCACATTTAGAATACCGTGGTTGATGTCCATGTTCAGAAATAAGCGTCACATATTTTCCTATTTTGAAAATTTATGTTTCTAATAATGGTGATCAGCATAGATTTATGTCAATGAACTGATGAATGGAATGGAAACCAAAGATCAAGTCATATCGCTTTCAGTACATGAGAAACTAGAAGTTTCCAATATGAATATGAGATGACTTTTCTCTTCCCAGTATCACATATTTTGTTGAGGAATTGTAGTAATCTAAGGCTTATTTATTTATTTTCTTGGCACTGTTAATTTGGAGAATATTGAAATTTCTTTTGCATCTTTCCTGGTTTTAGAAATATTCATGTTGGTATCTCTTGTGTCTTTTGTTTCATTAGATATGCATCAGCAAACAATCCATGCAAGGCCATTCGTACGTTTCATTTCATGGAGAAATTCAGAATATTGCCTGATGAAGAAGCATACCTCTTTCTTTTGAATGCTCTTTGTGGAAATGGATATGTTGAAGAGGCTGAGGAGTTCATGCTTGTAAATAAGAAGCTGTTCCCATTGGAAACTGATAGTTTTAACATTATACTCAATGGATGGTGCAATATAGATGTTGATGTATTTGAAGCAAAGAGAATTTGGAGAGAAATGTCAAAATACTGCATCACACCAAATGCAACTTCGTATTCCCACATTATTTCTTGCTTCTCAAAAGTTGGAAATCTTTTTGATTCGCTGAGACTCTATGATGAAATGAAGAAAAGGGATTGGATCCCTGGTCGTGAAGTTTACAACTCTTTGATTTATGTACTGACACACGAGAATTGCTTCGATGAAGCTTTGAAGATGCTTGAGAAAATGAAAGCAATGACACTGCAGCCAGATTCTGCCACTTACAACTCAATGATACTTCCCCTCTGTGAAGCAGAAAAGCTGGAGGAGGCAAGAAATATGTTGGCTATTATGATTAAAGAGAATCTTAGCCCTACCACTGAGACGTATCATGCATTTCTTAAGGGTGTAGATATTGATGAAATTCTGGAAATTCTTGACAAAATGAGTATAGCTGGTTTAGGTCCTAATGGGGATACCTTTCTCCTAATTCTTGGCAAGTTCTTCAAACTAGAGCAACCTGAGAATGCATTAAAAATTTGGGTGGAAATGAAGCAGTATGAAGTCATTCCAACTTCCACTCATTACACAGTTTTGGTAGAAGGGCTAGCATGTTGTGGGCTGTTATTGAAGGCCAGGGAATTCTATGCTGAGATGACATCAAATGGTTTCTCAGATGATCCAAAGCTCAAAAGCCTTTTGAAGGAACCAGTGGAAGGTAATAAGGGTAAGCGAGAACAGCAGGTGAGAAAGGGTAAGAGAGACAAGCAGGTAAGTCTTCAAAAAGGCAATACAGTGCAATCTAAAAGAAAAGGCCAAAAACGATCAAGAAAGAGGAAGAAAGTGGTTCAGGAGTCTGATTCAAAACTCTAAATGGAAGACTCCTTGTGGCAGTTAAGTTATTTAGTTTTTGCTGACATGATGATGCACTATTGATGACTGTCTTGGTGTTGGAGTAAGTGAAGAAGCTGCTGCTAGCTCAGAGACCTTGCAGCTTGGCCTAGCTTGTTCATGCTGGCCTATTCATAAGGAGAATTTTGCAAATCTTGAAAGGAGCTAGTTTACCCTTTACACATAGCAACTGTTCAAGGATTTTTCTCTCCCAAAATTCCAACTCAAATATCTGGGGTACACTGCTGCAACAATTCTTGCCATATCTTTCTGGTACACACTCATTTGATTTATGTGTTGTACTTCACCCTTTGCAGATGGCCTGAGACTTTTATTATCTGACTTATCACAATTGTGAGTTCAGGGTCAAACAATTCAAAATCTCAATGCTAGCTGTTGGTAGGACTGTTTTGTTGGGGGCACCTGAGGTACCTTGTTGACCCAACTACCTCTGTCATCACGAAATGTTGTTGTAAGTCTTAGCATTTTCACTCTCTCACTGATTGCTTATAATTTGGAATGAAATGAATTATCTGTCGGTTACTACTCTGCATGCATTTCGTTCTATAACTTGTCTGGCCATTATCAAATACATATTGCTCCATGTTTGCAAATATTCTATGTCATCAATAGCTACCATAACCAACGTTAAATTGTGCTAAATATATCTTGTAAGTGAATGTAAGAGTCAAGACTGTTATGTTTGATGCTGTATTGTTTAAATATTTAAAGATTTTTGTGGTTGATAGTGTTAGTAGAATATAACCATTAAAACACTTGATGACACTGATCACTCTTTAGGAGAGGTTAGATGGTTTACAGCAGAAGCCTTCTCGCTTGTTTTTTCAATTTCCGTTGCTCACTAAGATATGTTTCTTTCCTTTTTCTTTTTTTCGCAGCTAAAACCAAACATTCTCTTCTTGGCTGATATTCAGATACCGAAGGAGATATACTACAAGGAAAGCCCATGAACTGACAGGAAGAAGGAAAAATCATCAAAAGACAACATTTAACTTATATCATTCCATTACAGTTCCCTTTTCTTGTATTTCCATCTGCAACATAGCATGGAAGTGGGCTCCAAGCGATGCTACTAATGCTGTCGTTTTAAGCAGATTTGGATTCATATGAAGGCCTGCCACACTATTGGTTGGGGTGATGCACATCAACATGCATAATCAGCTTGCAACGAACTCAGCTTCACATGACACTCAAGCTTCATTTGCTACTTTGAAAATGGTGAGATCAAGATTCAAGTTAAGAGTCACCAGGTGTTCCCCATGTTAAAATCTGTGTTGAAGATTGTCAATATTAATAAAGACTATGATTGAGGTTGGAAATGTTTATATACCAGATTTGGTGTGTTGTGTGAATCAGAGGAAATTATTTTAGATTCCTTTTACTGAAGAGATCGATTAATGATTGGTCTTGGGAAATGAAACTGGGAAAAAACTGGAAATTTGCTTTGAAAATGGTGATACAGAAAATCTGCTAGACCTGTTTGGTCTTGAGAAATGAGATTGGAAAAGAACCAGTATNTGGAAATGTTTATATACCAGATTTGGTGTGTGGTGTGAATCAGAGGAAATTATTTTAGATTCCTTTTACTGAAGAGATCGATTAATGATTGGTCTTGGGAAATGAAACTGGGAAAAAACTGGAAATTTGCTTTGAAAATGGTGGTACAGAAAATCTGCTAGACCTGTTTGGTCTTGAGAAATGAGATTGGAAAAGAACCAGTATGCAATTCCTTCCACGCATTCGTTTTAAGGCTGTCTCGAGGAGGGGTGTCGAGTTTGCATAATGAAGATGGTGGCAGTTTTTTGAATTAACAATTTAGACAATGAATGGTATCTTCAGTTCCAATTGGATTCTTTTATCACTCTCTTGTTCTTTCAGCATGTATTGTTTTTATGTTTAATGTTTAGGGATGCAAATGAATCAAGTTCTTTTGATGTATTTGATTGGTATAAAAGGTTTTGTGATAATAAAAGGTTTTAGTACACTTTCAAGTTTCAATGTAATAGGTTACTTGTGATTCAGTAGAGAACATTTTCATTCATTTATTAGGGCTGAAGTTGAAAATACAGAGAGATATTAGGGCTGTTCTTATCCAAGACATGGGGATGGGGGATGTTTAGGTCCGTTTGTTTCGTGATCCTCCAAATATTATTATATTTTTTTCAATTATATTTTAAATCCCTTAAGTTTATTAATTTAGCTAAACACCCTAAAAAAAAAAGTTTAAAAATTAATAAAAACACCCCCAATCACCCACATTTGTCAAATTCCAGCCACCACCGTTGAAAGGTAGTTGGAATCTGGTATAATGGCACACTACCGAATGGATCTGACTGGTAGTGTGTCGATTTATCATTTTTCGACTAGATCCACAGTCAAAGATTTGGTCGTTAACGACCATATCTTTGATTGTCATTGATGGCCAGAAATGGCTGTAGATCTGGCCTTTTCTGGCCAGATCTGTGGTGGATCTGGTCGAAAAAGGATATAGCGGTACACGAACGACCATATCCGATTGGTCGTGTGCCGTAACGTCAGATTTCGATGGTGGTGGTCGGAATCTGGCAATTGTGGATAGGGGTGTTTTTGTTATTTTATAAAAATTTTATATATTAGGGTGTTTAGTAAATTAGCAAATCTAGAGCGGTGTTTTTGTTAATTTTTAAATTTTACCTCGTTATTTTCACTTAACTCTAAAAATATCAAAAATCTTATCCAAAATAATAAAAAAACGACATTTGCTTGTCATACACTTTTTCATTTCCTTGCTGTCTTTGAATCCAACCCTTGACACTAGGAAAAGGGAAAGGATACCCCTCCCCACTCTCAAGGTCAAGGTTGCTTCCACCCTCTAGTAGATAGAGACCTAAACTTGCATGCCTCAGCCTTATTTAGAAATTATATGATACCAATATTTTATATACCCATTTCTGCATCATGTTTGAGTGGAAATTATGCCGGGTTAGGCGGGCTAACCCTAACCCAGCCCGTAAAAAGAGGGCTCAAACCCGGCCTACCTTAATGGCAGGCCGGGTTGAGCCCAACCCGCCAGCAACCCCGGCGGGCTGGTTACACAATGGTAACCCGGCGGCCCGCCGGGTTGCTAATTTGTCCTCTTTGCAAGAGGTCCGCACCCGACGTGGCTGGCGGGTTGGCTTGTTCCAACGCCAACCCCCAGGTTGGCCCCAAAAAAAAAAAAAAAAAAAAATTGTTAATATTTTTTATTTTTTCAATTACACTTTTACCCTTGAAATCTAGCCGTTTTAGCCGTTGGAGGGTCTTTTTTTTGTCATTTTCTTCCCTATTTTTCTTTAAATTGGACCTAAACTCTCGTATTTTTCTCACAATCAAATTCTCTCATTTTCTCATATTCTCTATTCTCTCAACTCTCAAGTCTCAATTATTCATTTATTCTCTTAATATTTTTGTTATCAATTTGCTCTATTTTAATTTTTATTAGGTTTTGCATTTTCAATTCATATTTCCAATTTCCATATTCCAAATCTCTTTCTTAATTTTTTTTCTTCTACATCATTTTTTTTTCAATACAATTCATACATACAATCTACTGGATAGATATTCTCTCCCTCATTTCAATGAGGAAGAAAACTATTATCCTAGTCCTAGTCCTCGCTGATTTACTATGAATGCAGGAGATTCAAATAGTCCCTTGTCCCAATCCCAGTCTCAAATCCGATACACCTCAAAATATGTCGTCGTTCCAACAGCGCCCGTGGTTCTAGAAGTCGTCCTCATCCAACTTCATCTCAAGCTGAGGCGGGATCATCAACTTGCCATTGAAAGCGAAAACACACACATCAGACGTTTGGGCGCATTTCGACAAGTTTTACGAGACAAGAAATGACGTTCAGTCAAGAAAGCAAGATGCAAATATTGTGCAAATGTTTATAAAGCTGATTCAGGTAATGGTACTAGTACTTTAAAAAGGCATGCTAATAAACATATTAATCAACATGGAAATAGAGAAAGCAATCAAACTCAAATAACTAATATGGGTACTACTTGGCGTTATAATTCTGATGTAATAGGGAACAGTTAGCTTTATATATTGCTACATCTGATCAACCTATTATATGGCAGAAGATAAATATTTTGAAAGATTTGTTCAAAATTCATTTTTCCAGGATTTAAAGTTATTCTAAAACTGCAACTAGAAATGATTTAATAAAATTGTTTAAAAAAATGAAATTAGAATTAAAAAATATTTCATACTTGTCATATAGTGTGGCTTTAAATGCTGATATTTGGAGTGTAGAGCTAAACAAGATTATTTTGTGTGACTAGTCATTATTTTGATAATGAATTTAAATTAATAATCTTTATTAGGATTAGATTAATGGATGTGGATCATAATGGTTTAGAAATCTATAATAAATTATTGAAGTTTTAGAAGATTATGATATTATTAATAAAGTGATAAGTTTAACTTTAGTAATGCAAGTTCTAATAGTAAAGCTATAGAATTTTTTCAAAATAATTATCTTTTATTATAATTTGAAGTTTTTTCACCAACGTTGTGCATGTCATGTTATTAATTTAATTGTGAAAAGTGGTATGAAAACAATTAAAAAAAATATTGATAGAATTAGGGAATCTTTAGCTTGGATTACTAGTAGTAATAAAGAAATGCTGAATTTCAAGAAGCTTGTATAAAATCAATATGTCTCCTAGAACTTTGCATTAGATATACCTGTTAGATGGAATAGTACTTATTTATGCTTGATTCATGTTTACCTTATGCTAATATAATTAGTTTTTTGTAGCAAATAATAGAGGTCCTCATCATTTGGTAGAAAATGATTGGAAGTTAGCTAAAGTATTTCATTCTTTTCTCAAATGTTTTTACCAAGCCACTTTACAACTTTCTGGTGTGTATTATCCTACGAGTCCATTGTTAATCACTGCAATTATAAAAATTTCCGAGTTATTTACAAAAAACAAGATGATGAAATTTTACATGCACCAATAAAGGCAATGGAAATTTTTTTTTGAAATATTGGAGACCCGTCCTTTTCTTTATTGTTTTGTCTATATTTGATCCTAGAATTAAATTAGCACGTTTAGAAATGGTCTTGACAATTTAAGTGAAAATTTACAAAACGAATCATATGTCAATCAAATAGGAGAGGTAAAAAATAGTCTTTTCGAAGTATATTTCAATAGTGAAACAGGTATGGGAACCCCAGTCGCAAAGAGGCGAAATATCCAGAGAAGCTGTAGCAGAGAAACAAATGAAGACTTATTCTCTTGGAATGCACTGAATAGGCCGAAGAGGACCCGAGTCCGAAGCACAGCCTCCTCTTCAGAAGCACCACCACCAACAACAACAATAATATGCTGTCCTCCATGGGTTGCAGAGTAATGAACTTCAACAATATTTGGCAACCCCCGAAATGTTTTCAACAGGTCACTTGATCTCTTAGAGTATTGAGAGACCAGAAAATGTATTTTTCCGGTATATCAGACTTGCCTTGGATGTTTTCGCTGTTCCTGTCTCAACCGTCTCATCCGAACAAACATTTAGTGCAGTGGAAGGATTTTAAATGAAAGGGGACTAAACTTGCTCCAAAAATGATTGAAGTCCTCACATGTCTTCGAGATTGGGAACGATGCGCCCATCAAGATCAATACGAGGTTATCGACAATGCTTTAGTAGAATCATTTAATTTTGAATATAGATGATACAGATGAGGGAGGTCCTAGTGAACCACCCCCAATTTAGTTGTTTTGTAAAATGTAATTTGTAAATTAATTGTCAATTATTCCTCTTTTTTCTTTACCAGTTTTTCTCTTATTGGGTTTTCTTGTGAGGTTTTTAACGAGACAATAATATTGTAATTTCTTATTTATTTTTTGATAAATGAATAAGTCTAATTTTTTCTATATTACAATTTTTTGTATTAAAATTGAATTAATATTGAAATGTTAATAAAAAAAAAAATTGATTGAATTGAAATTATTGATATTGAAAAGTTAACTAAAAACATTATATTTATAATTATTTTTTGAAAAGTTAAATTAAAAAAACAAAAAAACACAAAAAAAAAAAAAAAAATCGGCTAACCCGGCCCGGACCGTGCCTAACCCGGCGGGTTAGGGCTGGCGGGCCGGGCTGGGCCAGCAACTCTCCCTAAATTGACGGGCCTAACCCGGCCCGCCTTTGTTGGCGGGCGTTGAGCCCAGCCCGCCAAGCAGTAACCCCCGCGGCCGGCCGGACGGGTTACTTTCCACCTTTAATCATGTTTAGGTCATACATTGTCTACTTTTTGGATTCTTAACTAATATTTTTTCAAACATATTTTACATATATCTCGGTAGTATTAAAATAACGCATAACAAACATATATAACCTTGAGTTCGATTTTTCCAGGTGTTAATAGAGATGGTTAGCGTTAATAAGGGTAACATTGAAAGAGTTATCTGATCGTTATTTTTAAGATTTTGGAGTCAATTTTAAGACTTCGAAAGATTATATAGACTAGCATTAA